TTGGAGTCACCTCATTCTCCCCTTCATTCCGCTGCATCCATTCCATCTCGTCATCACCCTCGTTCATCGTCATTCCGCTGTTTTGTTCAAGATCTATCCATCGTTCACCATCAATCTCTCCACTTCCAATTCAAAACCAGCAAAGTGGTCCTTGGAGTATAGATTCACGGCAAGGAGTCTATCATGTGGTATCAGAGCCACTTTGTAACCAGGTTTTGAAGTTCCATCCCGAAATTTCCGTTTTTCAGATTTTTTTTCAATATTGCGTGAATTTTATAAAATAATTGGCTTGTTCAAAAATTGTGAAACCAGTTGAATTTGAACCAGCAAAGAGTCTTTTATTTTCTAAAATTAATTTCGGAAGTTTTAGAGTCGATTTGCTATTTTTCCAGATCCGTTTAGTTTTGTCTGTTTTTGGACACTTTACTTGTTAAATTTTGATTTTTCAGGTACAATGGTGACAAGTGAAGAAGAAGAAGAGTCATCTACATCTAGCCTTGAAAGGAGGATTTTGAAATCGGTCACATCCGCCATGAAAAAAATGATCGATGAAAAGATTGGAGCTCTACATTTGCATGAAGTCAATCCGGAACCAAAGCCACCAGACAACACAATTAGATCAACACGGAGCAGTCCACAAAAATTCTCTCACACTCCCAAATCGAAATATGTGTTTTATTCTGATTCTCAACCAGCTAATGAACCCTATAAATTTTCAGGAAAAAATGACTACATAAAATGGGAGGAGTGCATGAACGAGTGGTTTCACTACAGCCACATCCTTAGAGAGAAGAGATTAGCTTATGCCGTTAGCCAACTCGTGGGAGATGCTCGCCAATGGTGGTTGCAAGAAGTTGATTATCGCTGGTACTACAAGGAGCCGAGTATCACCTCGTGGAGAGATCTTAAGAAGCTGCTAAGGAATAAATATGCTCCACAAGCCAATGCTAAGAAACCAGCGTTATTCAAAGATCACAAGAAAATCCCAACACCCGTGGAGGCTAAGCCGCAGCCAGCCCTTGTTGAGAACTTGATCAAGCCCCATAAAAATAAGAAAATGGAGGATAAGCCAACATCTCCACCGAAGAAGGTCACCAAACAAGTTGTCATTCACAAGCAAATTCTAAAAACATCATTTGAATCAAGCGGTGAACCGAAG